GACAGGACACCAGGTTTCATTCCTTCCAGGTTTTTATTTTCCGGAAGTTACAATAAAGAGATGTTAAATATACCATCCCTTTTACTTAATCCATTTTTCTTTAGCCAAGAGGTCACAGCAAAATGGATAACTATGGAGACTGACATCCACCTCTGGTATTTTTACTTAAATTATTCTAAGTCTTCCAAATACATTTCGCTAACATGAGAGAAAAATACTTTTCTCCATAAAAAACAAAAATTAATTTTCAGATTAGTGGTTGCCAGGAGTCTAAGAGGAAAGGGATGGGGTATGGGTTTTGTTTTTTTTTTTCTTTTGAGGTAATGATAATGTTCTGGAATTAGAAACTGATGATGGCTGCACAACGAGAATGAACTAAAAGCTGCTGAACTATATACTCTAAAATGCTTAAAACTGTGAGTTTTGTTATGTTAATTTTATCTTAACAAAAAAAATTAGTTTTCGAGGGGCACCCGGATGGCTCTGTCGGTGGAGCATGCGACTCTTGATCTTGGGGTTGTGAGTTCGAGCCCCACATTGGGTGAAAGATTACTTAAAATAAGATCTTTAGAACAAATAATTTTCTTTTTTTAAATTTTATTTTATTATGTTAGTCACCATTCATTACATTACTAGTTTTTGATGTAGTAGAACAAATACTTTTCAAAACATTTTTTTTTCATGACTCGAAGTAAAAGATGTTTCAATGTGTTTTCAAATCAGACAGAAACCTAAGGGATTTTAATAGGACTATGACAGAGTCACAAGTAATTGTGTGCAAGTCATCTCCGCTGAGCTCTCCCCTCTGATCTAGGCTAAAGGCGATGGAGAGTGAACGACAAGGCATGGAGAAGGGACAAGGTTTAAAATATACACTAAGGTTTAAAATATACACTGTGGGGCACCTGGCTGGCTCCGTTGGCAGACTACGTGACTCTCAGTTTCAGGGTGGTGATTTGGGAGCCCCAGGTTGAGGATGGAGGTTACTTAAAACAAACAAACGAACAAAAACACCCACGCACTCACCCCTGAACTGGAAAAGAAGTTGCCTGGACCGAGCCCAGGGCCGGACGGGAAACAGGTTACAGCTGACATGCATGAGACAAAAGCAAACGTTGATTTCACAGCAACCTTTTTACTCCAGCACTGAAAAGTCCAACCATTTCCACTGTAACCGATCTTCTCAATGATACAAGTGCAGTAACACCACAAGCGGAAATTTTTCTTCACCAGAAATGTCACTTATGCATCAGACAAAATTACTGTTGCCGTGGGAATCGTAACATGAGTTTCCTGGACTTCAAATTAAACGCACACACACACACACACAATGGAAACGTAAAAATCTACCAGGTTACCTGGACTTCAAATTAAACACACACACACACACACACACACAATGGAAACGTAAAAATCTACCGGCAGAGTCTGCTCCCATTTAACAAAACTCTTGTTTCTTTTTCTGAGCACTGTTTTATCAAATTAGCTCCCTCACTCCCCACCCCGATCCTATTAAAAGCTTTCCTTGAGTTTCATGCTTTTTTGTTAGTAAGGACAAATGGCTTTGGCATTATCCTCAGAACATGATGCAAATAATCTGCTCTCTGACAAATACTTTAATTGAATTAGATTCCTTTAATCAGAAAGGATTAACCAACTGAAATTTTACTAAATGACTTCAGTTCCCAAAACTCTGCAAAAGTCTGTTTTGAGGCCCTGATAGTAAAGCCAGACGCAAAACAAACCGCCCTCCCACCCCACCCCGGGCAGCCGCTCCTGTGACCCCTGCGAAGGAGGGCCCTGACGTCTGGGGCCTTGGAGCACTGTCCTGTGAGCAAGGAGCCAGGTTATGGACGGGGACTCAGGACACTGGAAAGCAAGCATGGAAATGAGCTGATTTCCAGGGGCAAACATCAGTACTGACAGGTGTCGGAGCTGCAGACCACACACCTGCTCCTTCAGCAAAAGCCAGCATGCTGCACGAGTGCGTATGGCACGGCGGGGTCTGTCCTTTCTCTTGGGACCTCACTGCTCCTGTGCTCTCAGTTTCCGGGTCACAGAAGGAATATGAAATTGTCTCAGCCCCTTCATTCAACAGATGAAACAAAAGCAACCTGTCCCATGTCACGACATCAGTCAGAGCTGGATGCACACCTGGGCTGCCCTTTCCCTGAGGCCCCACCTATAAACGTGTCCCCCAAAATTGTGCCAGCTCCTCTACCTCAGCTGGGCTCAGCCAGAGAGTCTCTTTGCATATTTTGCTTATTTTCTGGATCCTCTAGGCTGAGGTGCACACACAGAGGTGTACCCCCACAACGGGAAGGTGAGATGCAAATTTGGGGGTTAGGGCATGAAATGAGACATGTATTGAGCTCGTGGACCTACCGAGTCTTCACACACTGTGCTAGGGGCTTCCCAGATGTGATAGCACCGAACCCTGGTAAGGACACTCCCATAAGGCCCCTGGGCCCCAACCTCAGGGACCTACTACATAGTTGTCGAACATAAGACACTTTTTAAAATTCAGTGGTTCTGAAGAGCCACAGACACACCAGCAAAAACAAGTTCTTCAAAGCCTGATGGATGGGAATTATCCTGGAAACAGAGATGCTGAGTGCTTCCTGGGCCAGGCTGGAAGGACACGCTCATCCACTGCCCGCTGCTACTTTTGTCCCTGTCCTTTGCACGGTCCCCTTGGGAAATACAGAAAGGCATGAAGGATGATAGCAAAATTATCCATAATCCTGCTACCCAAATGTCACGCTGCTAACCTAACTTTGCAGGCACTGGATCCAGGGAACACAGGCCTCTCAGAGAAAAGGAACATCAACACCCTTCAGTTTCTGTGGTTTCAGAGAAATCACTGACCAAGTCAGATGGAGACCAGTGTCAGGCCAAAGAGGTGGCTGCCAATACTAACCTGCATTTTCCAAACTCACTCAAAACCAGGAGGGAGTCTTTATTTCTTCTCCCTGCTTTACATAGTTTAACGCTGTCTAATTGGAATAGCAGGAACAAGGCCAACTGGCCCCACGGCTCCAGGCTCTTGGGCCAAGGAACAGAAATGTATTTTTAGTCAGCAGAGCAAGGCGTGATTCAAAGTACGACAGGCCCCCAGGGTAAGCTGGGGGCCCTGCCCATCTCTGGCACCAGGGGGGTTCAGAGTCACCTGCCATGCTCCCGCACCCAGTGCGTGGGGGCAGTTGAAGGAAAAGAGCATGGGCATGGGTTTCTGTGTTCAGTCTCAGTTCCTCCTCTCAACTTGGCAACTTACAGGGAACTCAGGGATCCTTGGTTTCCTGTTGGTGACACAAAGATGTTCTCTGTGTCCCTGGTTTCCTCCCCGAGGGAAGAGCAAAGGGAGGGAAGGCAGTGCTTCTCACACTTGAATGAGCGTGAAAGGGCCAAGGGACCTTACTAAAGCAGCTTCTGATCCAGCATGGCCGAGTGGAGGCCTGAGGTTCTGCATTTCCAACGAGCTCAGTGCGGGTAGGACATTGCTGGCCCAGGAACCACACTTAAAGTAGCAAGAAGTTAAAAGCATCTTCTAGTGCTTTGCTCTATGAATATACAAGGGAGCATGACATCCTTAATTAGCCTCCGGTCTGGCTAACTCATTTAATTTAGCCAGCAGTCCAACACTTTCCAGATGCTGGTCACAAAGCCACAGTGAGACCCTTGCCTGTCCATCTTGGGACCAAAGGCTACAACCTTCATTCCAGCACTCCAGAGAAACAAGGACTGACTCACAGATCCTGTGGTCCCACGGGTGAGATCAGGCCAGGGCCCCAGGGGCCACATGACAGGAGGCCACAAGCCAGAAGCAGCAGCTTCTGTCTGTCAAACACCTCCTACGTGTTATGCACGATGCACTTCTCTCAAACCTCTGGCTCACCTTCCCCACGTGTAAAATGGATTAAGGAAACACTCTGTAAATGAGGACAATGAGGCTGGGAGAGAGGAAGCAGTTTCTCCAGGACACAGACCTGGAGAGGCCATTCGAACCCTGTGCTATTTCAATCCTGCAATTCCTTGAAAAGGATTAAGCCCAACACCCCATCTTGTAAGGATGGAGCGCCTCCCGAGCACAGGGCCTGTTGCCGGCAAAAACTTGTCGCCCACACGCTACAAGAACTATCATATTGATGTGACGTCTTCTCACCAAGTACCTCTGCTCCGCCCAGAAAAGATACATGCAGGTGAGCCAACGAGCTCTAACATCGGCAGAATCAAAATAAAATAAAAATAGGCTGGGCTGGCATGGAAAAAGGAAATTTAGTGTGAAGAGAGAAGTGCTCTGCTGAGGAGGCTGTCCACAGAATCTGGTTGAGAAAACTGTTGGGACTCAGGATGGGTTCATCTGGAAAGACCTCTGAGCGGGTTTCAAACAAGCAAGCACCTCCCGCTGAGGGCTGAAGTGAGCATCACTCAGGAGCAAAGACTCTTAGCAGCTCTGACGAGAACACCCTGCAGCCTACCTTCCTTTTTCACTTAAGTCCCTTTACAGCCTTTTTCATTTCCAGCGTGTTGTCGAACACTTGACCACATAAACGGATTCCTTACTTTTAGCTTGATTTCAGAGGCCTGGGGGTATTTTCTTTTTTAAAGCTGTAAAACTGAACTGGGTCACGTGAACAGATTCATTGCCACAAACATGAGCTTGCTGTCTTGTAATTCACAAGGCTTCCTTTAATTCCAGTTCATTCACTTCAAGCTGCAATTTACCCAGTAGGACCAAGACACTTATTAATTCTATGTACCTCTTGGCACGGAGAAGACCAATCTCCTCCCAAATTAGATGAGGTGAGTCTTCCAGGTTTTCAACCTACAAACCCCAAAACAGCAAGCAAGGCACTTGTCACAAGCATTAGGGCTCTGTGGGGAAAGACTGTTCTACACCAGCGAACACAGGGACACAAGTTTTCCTGCCACCAAATGTCAGCAAGACAATACCACAGCCTCACAACCCAGCCCAGGGTTCCCCGAGTGGCATCACTTACAGGAAGAGAGAGACAATGTGAGATGAAGCAGCACCCAGGGACGGCACAGCTGTCAGCTCATTGTTATTGAGGTACCTGTAACAACAAGAAGAAATTTCTCACTTAAATTAGCAGTTTGAAAAATTTCATACGGACAAAGTAAATCAAAGAACAGTGACGAGTTGGCCATGGGAAGACGATACTGCAATGTTCAATAAAAGATAAAGAATTTTATTTTATTTTTAAGATTTTATTTATTTATTTGAGAGAGTGCGTGAGCATGAACAGGGAGAGAGGCAGAGGCAGAGGGAGAAGCAGACTCCCCGCTAAGCAGGGAGCCCAACTCGGGGCTCCATCCCAGGACTCTGGGATCATGACCTGAGTTGAAGGCAGGACCTTAACTTAACTGACTGACTGAGTCACTTAACTGACTGAGCCACTCAGGCGCCCCAAAAGATAAGGAATTTTAAAAGAGAGTTTTTAAAGGTAGAGAAGTCACGTGAGCTCACAAAAATGAACCATTTGTCACACCTATGGTTTAGAAACACACTCTCGGGGGGGGAGGGCTACCTGTCTTCCAGATTGTCATCTAGCTCCGAAATCAACACTGACAAACAGGGAACAGTGATGAAAGGTCAAGACACATGATGCAGAACAAAAGCACCCTGAGACCATTGACGAGGATGCTCCTTGTGGGCTGGAAGAGTCAGAAAAGGATATGGGGAGAAAGACCTTCCAGGTTGCTTTTCCATGTCTGTGACATGGGATTCTGTGAATCACAGCTCTGGCGTCACCAAAGGGCAGCGCCCTCATACCCAGGGCCGGAGCCTCCCCCATGCTCAGGGTTCCGAGGACCTCGGGACATGTGGGCCACTTATTCCAGTGCCTCAGCTGTGCAACAAGTAACAAGGAAGCTGGACTTGGGGAGTCTCATCTATTTGTGATTCTAGCTTCCCTGAATTGGATGAAGCCTCCAGGTACGTTTTCCAGGAATGCATACACACAGACACACACATTTGCACAAAGACATTTTGAAAATCCTCCCCAGACCAGACGTGCTCTCCAGAGCCCCCTTCCCGCTCCAGCATTCTAGATCTGTATTTCCAGAGTTCTTATCTCTTCATGAAAGGGGAAGCCTGCAAACCAAAACACAGTTCGCTGGGTCTGCCCCCAGAGGCTCTGCAATCCAGCCTCCTTACATGGACATGAATTTCCAAATCTGGGAAGAGAATCTAAAATCAGACTTGCGAAGTGAGCCCAAAAATCCTTAATAAAGCCAGAGCACAGGGATCCAGCTTTCTGCTGGGTGACAGGCTGGAAGGAAACCGTATTTGAGATGCAGAATCAAAGGGATAATGCTAGGTTATCATACTTTTTTTTTTTCCCCTTAAGAGAGTGTGTCTTACATGGACCATCTTGTTACTGTTTGAAGACAAGGCCACTGAAATGACAGTTGCATTCATGCAAGTATACAGCTAGTATTGGCTTGAATCGAATAATCTGGTTGCCATCTTCTATAGACGTGAACAAGAGGGGAAAAAAAAAGGAAAAGGCCTTGAATTATCCCATTTGCTTTCGGCAGTGCCAGAGCCAGTTAGAGATGAGGCTTGGCAATTATTGGGCCGTGGGACACAGAACGTCTGTTTCAATAGCTTCATGACTGAAGCATCTGGCAGAGAGAAAGCAGATCCGTATCATGTGGCAAATCCCTTCTTCACTTAAAGGGCCCTTGTCTGTGTGTTGAAGTAGACAATTAATTACTTTAACAGTCTCTTATCTGACTGCCCCCGGAATCAGCCTGCTTCTGCTTCACCTCTTCACTCCTCCAACCCTGCAGCAATCCATTTCCCATCTTGGTGCAGGGATGATGAAAACTCTCCAGGGGTTTTAATCTCTCCTAATACATTTTCACGGTACCATCAATGGACTTATTACTCGAGGAGACCCTCAGATCTTTGCAGGGCAAGGAAAACTAAGGTCAGGGCCGGCTGCCAATAAGGGAGCTTGTGTAAGATGTCTAAAGTGCCTAGAGATCTGTTCTAGAACATGATGATGGTGCTAATAATAATGTCGGCAGCAGCTAACCTACGGAGGGGCTACTATGTGCCAGGCATGGCTCTAGGAGCTTTCCAGCGTACTAACTCATCTTTAGACGCCTAGGGGGTAAGTCCCATGGACATTCCCATTGTACCAAGGAGGAAATGGAAACACTGAGGTGTTGACTAATTTGACGGTCACCATAGTAAGTGGTAGTGGCCCAGGGAGTGTCGCCCCCCAAGTCTAGCTTCTTAACCACTCACTACCCTCATTTCTCTATAATTACAGCAGCAACTGCCTGCCTGATGCAACTGCATCACTACCACTCTGAGTCAGGTACCAGGTCCTCGTGCTGGTCCCTACCCTACAGCTAAGGGCTCTAAGTCAAGTTTCAGTTGCAGTCACAAGGCTAAGGCCACACAACTAGAAGATGGTACAAACAACAGTTGAACCCAAGAATGGCTGCCAAACAGAGGCGAGCCACGAGTGGCAAGGCCAGCAAGCCGGGAGGCTCCTAAACCCTCAGGTAACATGGTGGTTGTGCTTCGGGCTGCTTAGGATCGGACTTGATGCTAAACCTGAAACAGACAACATGGACTTCCCCGCAGGGGAACTTTTGCCGAACGACCTCAGTGTCAGGCCGGCCCTACTGCACAGAAATAAATGAACAAGGAAAAGCGGCATCATGATAAGATTTTAAATCCTGCCCAAACTGCTGGAAGCAGAGCGTACAGGTGCGGCAGACCAGTGCTAAAGATGAACAGGGCATTTTATATCTAGAGTGGCAGTAAACAGATTTAGGCAGAGATCACAGGCTCTGATCCCAACAGGGCTGCTCGATTTATGCAGGGGACAGTGTCAGGATCCAAAGGAGAAGAGCTGCATGGCCCGCGTACCTCTCGATCGTTCCTATGTAAAAAGCACCACTTGCTAAATATAAGTCAGGTGGCATTACCACTACTGGCTTTCTTTTTGTGTGCCCTGAAAACAGTATCCTCAGAAGGCAGTGGAGACCATACTCGCTCTGAGACACGACCAGCTTGCCAGCCTGAAATAGAGACCAGTCAAAAATAGCACGGCCAGAGCTCGGAGGGAAGGTTGAGCACAGTCTCCACGAATAAGGAAACTAGGAATTTAGGACGGGGTTTGATGAAATCTTCTGAGTATCTAGGGTTGTGCAGTTTTCTACCCTTCACACTCCCCCTACATGTGCTCCCATCTGAGGCCCTAAAAATCGTTCTAAAGTGTCTTGCTTCTTGAACTGACTTTTCCTGATGATTCAGGACCAAGAAGTGCCTCCCTCAGGTGCATGAGACCACGAATTATAGTCCAACCCTGGACCTGGAAGAGATGTAAAATAAGGGAAATGGGGCTCCATGGACTGCCTGACCCCAGGGCAGAACCTAGAGGTGGGCCTTTTCCAGCTCACCCATCGTAAGGTGAGCATGGGCCTTCTGGGCTCTCTCTGAAATGTTCCGTTACTCAGCTCGCTGAAAGGAAGTTCTTCTATTTTGTAAGACACAAAATGTTAGGAAGGGTGTTTCAGAGTACTTTAATTATTATCTCAATGAAATGAGGCTTCCACAGACAACGAAAAACAAACCCAAAGCATGATTTTGGGTTACAGGGCTTTTGGGTCCATTTTTTTTAATTGCCGTGTATTATTTATTGAATAGCTGATCTGAGCGCACAGTAAAATTTCCAAACCGTTTCAAAAGAGAAAAACCAGGAATATACAGTGAAAAACGAAGCTTCCTTGCACTTCAGTCCCCTGGTCGGCCTCCAAGAGGAAGCGCCGGCTGCCAGCTCTGAGAGATGCACGCATGTTTCTCTTTTACATAGATGCTTGTGAATTATACAGACTGTTCTGGAGCGCACTTTCCCCTCAGTAATATATCTTGTAGATCTCCCTCATTCTTTTGACCAGCTGCAAAGTATTCCTCTGTCAGCATGAATGAATGACCATCTATTTAGCCAATCCACTCTGGGGAGGCATTTTGGGCGGTGCCAAAGGCAAGGAAGCTACCCTTCATAACAAAGTTGGGGAGAGGGCTGCAACTTCAGTTAGCTCTGCTTCTTACAAGGCACAAAGTCATCAATAACAGGTAGGAGTGCAGGTTTTAGAGTCAGAGCCTCTTCAGCAATAACTATATGAGGGCTTTTAGCTCCTTGAGAATAAGGCATACTAAATAATTACTCTGGCAAGACTTTTTCTATACCAGATGGCCAGATGTGCTTCCTTTAGGACAGGGATTGAGGGGATAGTTACTTTAAGTCAGCAATTACAAACAATAATAGTAAGTGTGGAGTTTGTGCACTAGGCTCTCTGCTGAATGCTGCCATGCACCATATCTCACTGGATCACATGCCAAGCCTCTGAGGAAGGCACTCAAGTATCACTCCACCTTAAAAGGAGAAACCAAGGCACTGTGACAGAGTAGCCAAGCAGGGGTTACTCGGAGGGCATTTTTACAGCTCGGATCTGCAAATCAGAGAGCTCTGGGTTCATTCAACCCCAATCCTACCCTTTAGCAACTGAAGGGCCTTCAGCATGTCACTTAACCTTCCTGTGCCTTAGTTTCCTCCACAAAAAAATGTAAACAACACCAGTAACAACTTCATAGGGTTGTGGCAGGACCCGGCTGAAATAATTAAACCTAGCGGCTTAGGATCGAGCCAGAAATAGAGTAAATGCTTAACAGGTGGTGGGAATTCGCAGCCAAAGGGCAGTGCCTCAGAAAGATACCCCTGGTTATTTCAGCCCTCCCTTCAACACACTACACTACACTACACTACACTACACTACACTACACACTGGGGTGGGGGGAGCGTGATCCTGAGACACCAGAGGGTCACACACACACACACACACACACACACACACACACACACACACACACACTGGTGTGGGGGAGCGTGATCCTGAGACACCAGAGGGTCACACACACACACACACACACACACACACTGGTGTGGGGGAGCGTGATCCTGAGACACCAGAGGGTCACACACACACTGGTGTGGGGGAGCGTGATCCTGAGACACCAGAGGGTCACACACACACACACACACACACTGGTGTGGGGGAGCGTGATCCTGAGACACCAGAGGGTCACACACACACACACACACACACACTGGTGTGGGGGGAGCGTGATCCTGAGACACCAGAGGGTGAGCCATAAATACCCAAAGGCAGGGCACACACAGGCTTCCCGGGCGTCTTGAGGAACATTTTAGGTCAACGGCCCTGGAAAGCACACAGCAGCACCCACAGTGAGCATTCTGGGGCCAGGCGGCAAGCACGTGACCTGCACGCAGTTCTTAAAGAGGACGGTATAAATAGTCCCTCTTATTAACAGAGGAGCCTGGCCGTCCAGGACCCCTGGCTGGAGGCCCTCCCTGGTGGGCTTTCCTCAGAGCTGTGGGCAGTACAGACCCCGTGTGGCTTGGCAGCAGCTGCTCAAGCATCCTCATGGCCTCCAGGGGCCTCCATCAGCCGTGCTTTCTCTCTCCAGTGAGCCATGATGGACTGTGGTTCCAGGCCTCCAAAATAAAACCACTGCTAAACCACGACCTACTGTTTTGCCAGCCTGTGGTGCTCCTCTCGCCGAGGTTTCCAGACTCACAGAGAGGGCTCTGAGCGTTTAGGAGAGCTGACAGCTCCGGGAAAGCCCTGAACCCAGTCAATTTAGAAGCAATTGTACGTCAATTACAATTTTTTTTTCTTCAATATCCTTTCCCACCTCCCCACCCCTTACTTCTGATAGGCCCTTTACCATCTGCCTCCACAATGGATTAGAATTCCCTCCAGGAAAGGCCCGGATCTGCATCAGTGAGAAGTTCCACTGCTCTGGGCTCCGGGGAATTCGTCTTGTCCATCCCAGTGTGATCCCAGGGGCTGCAGGCAGTCACAGTGATAAAAGGCCCAACCAACTGGCCCTCAAGGATTTGTTTCTCAATAACGCATCCAGCTTGGGGGGGCTTTGTGGTTCCAAATGTAGCAGAAGGAAATAACACTCAGTAGCCTCCCCGTGTGCAAAGCCCTGGACATCACCTCCAATTAATAACTCCAGTACCATTGGTCATGTGTTCACACATCCACGTTGCATAAAGGGAAAAGCAATGAGGCACTAAGTAACTCGTCCAGGGGCACAGACCAGCAAAGAGCAAAACCAGAAATCAAATCCAGGTCTGTCTGCTACCAAACTGTGTGTGTTTTTTCCACTATGCCACACTGTATCCAAAAGATGCAATCTCTGTCTTCACGCCTCCCACACGTGAGAAGGGAGTGTTGCCACAGAAAGCATGGCACAGGAGTTAGACCAGGAAGGGGGTGCAGGCCCCATCCAACCACTTGCTAGCATGCAATCCCAGCCAAGCCCCCATGCTTCGGCTCCTTCCAATGTCCGGAGAAGGTGGCAGTGACAATAAGGAGTACAGCGGTGCTCAGGACGATGGCTAGCGAAGGTCAACCTTCACGAGTGCAATATTAGCAGGATGAAGGAGAGCAGTCACACACAAAATAAAGAGCTCAGGATGCGGTCAGGGGCCTCATCCAGCTCACAAATGCAACAGGAGTTCTGAGGAGGGAGAAAAGCCAAGGTGGAGGGAGAAGGGGTATTTTATTAGGTCAAATTAGCACACTGACCCACCTCACACTTCCCTTGCTCCCTCCACCGGCTGTTGACCTTACAGGAAAACTAGGGTCCTGGACAGAATATTCCCAAGGGCTCCTTCCAACTATGAAGTTCTTTTAACTTCGGAAGTTTAAGCCTTTTTTAAAGAGACATGGAAATCATAACCACAATTTGGAGAATTTGGAGATGGGGCTAGGGGATGCAGGTATTCTGCCAATTGCACTAAGGAATGAAATTAAGGTTCCTTTAGATAAATCATCCAACAATGAAATCAAAGAATAAACAAGGACTTCTATCAGTTACATATAATGACCAATTACCTAACAATATCTAATAAAAATCACTGACAATAGAAGCATGGGGTGAATAATTTATGAAATATCCATGTGTGGTAGTTTTACATAAAAATTTAAGTGGGGGTGCCTGGGTGGCTCAGTTGGTTAAGCGACTGCCTTCAACTCAGGTCATGATCCTGGAGTCCCGGGATCGAGTCCCACATCAGGCTCCCTGTTCAGCGGGGTGTCTGCTTCTCCCTCTGACCCTCGCCCCTCTCATGCTCTCTCTCTCTCTCAAATGAAAGTAAGTAAATAAATAAATAAAAATTTAAGTGGCACATTTAAAAATTTTTAATTTACATGATAAAGTATTCAAAACTGTGAGGGTTAAGTATGAAAAGGATACAAAACTGTAAGATATATATACAGTTTGATCCCCAAATTCTACATGTAGAGGTATGTATTTTTCACTAAGTATTCATAATGGTTATTATGTCTGGTGATTTGAATTAGTCTTTACATATTTCTAGACTCTAAGTTTCCTGCAGTGGTTATATGCACGACTTATGCAGAAGTTTCTCTAAAGTCCCTATGAAACTAAAATTCCTGATAACCCGACATCTATGTTAAAAGCAGAGTTCTTTACAGTCAAGAAGAAGGAAAGAGGGAGGCCTGATTTACAGGACCCTGCATGAGGCAGCGGGCTGGCTGAGAGTACCCCAGGCAGTGATAACGCCTCGCTCTGTCTGGAGATGAGAGAGGGAAAGCCAGCCTCTGTGTCCATTCTTCTACACCCATGCTTCCCAGAAAGCAGAAGCGGAGAGCTGGTGCATGAGCCTCTGCCGAGCAGGCTGCTCTACCTCCCGGGGCAACGGCGGGGAGGTACCAGTCAGGTGTGCCAACACAAAGGGTCCACGAGGTTTCCACAAAGGAGGGGACCCTCCCATCCGTCCCCCACATCCCCGTGCTTTCTCCAGGATTCTAGCGCACCCGTCGATGCCTGCCCACGAGGAGGGAGGGGCTGCAGGGAAGGAGCTCAGGAAGCAGTACGATTCGTCAGGGCGGCCAGTATGCACACATTCCTGCTTGCACGTTTAGACTGCTGATGGAGGGGGGGTGGTGGAGGGCAGAGGGTTTCCCCAGGAGCTCGAAGTCCCCCACCCCCAACCGGAGGTTTAGGAGAAAACACTCACACTTCCTGTAGATTTGGCAAGTCCTCAAAACCAGCAGGGTCAATCTCAGAAAGTTTATTATAACTCAGGTTTCTGGTAAAGGAAAAGCAAAAAAAAAGAATAATTAATTAAATCAACATGCAACATTTAACCCCAAATTCAGGAATCTTCTATTCCGCCTCCCAAACCAGGCCCTCTCTCTCATAACTGCCCCTATCCCATACATTATTTGAAGTAACCCTATTAATACTGAGATTTACAGATAGAGCTCCTCCCCACTAGCATCCATAAACAAGTCACTGTGAAAAATCTCCAATCACTAAAACTGGCTAAACTCAAATGGATTTCAACCAATGTAATTTCACCACTTAGCAACTTCTAAAGGTAAGTCAGTCCTCTACCTACATTAGAGTGTGCTGATACAAATATTTTGCCCTGAATCAGGTCCAAGGCTATTCCGAATGGCATTTTAAAAGTTAGTATTTTAGTAAAACATCAGTAAGAAAAAGAGGGGTCAGGAACTGACCCTCTACTGTCTACAAATCAGTGGTTCTCAAGCAGGGATGACGTTTGGCAATACCTAGAGACATGTTTAGATGTTACAACTGCAGAGAAAAGGCGGGGATGGGAGGGTTGCTACACACATCTACTGCGTGGAAGCCAAAGAGGCTGCTAAATATCCTACAATGGCACAGGACAGCACTTAGCAACAATCATCCAGCCTTAAGTGTCAATGGTAACATTCAGGAGTTGAGAAACCCTGGTCTAAGCAAGATCCGATGACTAAAAATTGCTAAAAGGCACACTCAAAGTTGAAGGAACTGCTTAGAAAGTCGAGACCTTATGAGACGCTAATCATAAAGCTATCCCTGAACACGATGCACCCATCAATGAATAAATACTGGGAGTGACAGTCACACAGGAGAGAGGAGCTGTGGTTACGGGAAATTCACGGCTGGTCTTAACCAAAGGCAGTGAAAGCCTCACATGTGAGCAGCCTTCTCAAGAAGATGGCACCTGCCAACATCATTCAGAATGACCCCTCTCTCCTTTCATGCCCCAGCTATACCCTTAGGCGCACACAGGGAGCAAGCTGACCCTTGTTCAGCCAGCAGAGCTTCTTGGATCAGCCCTCAGCCTAGATCAGCTTGATCTTTCAGAAACAGAAATCCACAGAGACGTGGTCCAAATGAGACCTTGGTGCATACTGTGCCTTGTTCCCTGCCACCAAAACACACCCAGTCCCACGTATGCCAAAGAGGTCAACGTTATTGATCTAAGCTATTAATTCCATTGGCATTAATGCCAATTAACGGTACTGAGAATCATGAGTTTCAAGTCTACCATTTAGGCAGCACATAAGTAGCAACTAGCTTTTAAACTTACTCCAGAGACATTCCAATCAATACTAACCTACAGCTGATAGCCATTTCACTGTCGACTCTAGACATTCATCTAAATAAAAGTCAGACTACACTTGAAATTAATGGTACATCTGTGCTCAGGGCACAACCTGAATTAAAAGCAATTTGTCCAGAGATTATGTTACTATAAAAATTGAAGGTGGCAGCTTTTTAAACCACATACTGAAGTCAAGTGCGAGCTTGTCCGTGCTTGGGGGTATTTACGATCGGGTACACAGACATCAACAGATTAGACTCAAAAAAGAAAAGCCACAAATGGAGAGAATTCTCCCACATCAGAAAAAGGACTGGACAGACTAAAATTTTCTTCTATCTTGAGCTCATTATCATAAACAAGAAGGATGGAAATACTGTTTCTGGGTCTAGAGATACCGTGAGTTTACAGTATCTACCACGTTTGCATCATTATCATCGGTAATGAGAGTTACTGAGCAGGAGGAGACATCAGAAGACTGAGGTCACAAAGGCAAGAGGCCTGGAGGGCAAGCAAGTAGTGTGGACAGTCACCCTGCCAGGGGTGTGAAGAGGCTGACACAGCAGTACCTGCTTGCCCATCAAAAGGGGCATTTGCTCCTGTCTCCAGAAACAAGGGCAATGCAGACCAGTCTTCTCCATTTTCAAGAGAAGCTCAAACTCTGAATTCTCAGGTGAAATCCTTTTAATTCTTAAAAAAAAAAAAAAAATGTAACTCTGGATGGATCAAACATAACGTATCTGCAGGCCACATCCGGACTGAGGACCACCAGTTTTTAACCTTGCATTCTGGGCCACTGACTCTTGAAGCTATTAAGTTCAAAATGCAGGTCTTGTTTCTGGCTTATAGATGTGGCCAGGGATGGAGCCAGCCTCAGGCAATCAAATGGTAAACTATCTGGAATGAAATTACTTCCCTTATTCCCCACTCCAGGAGTGGTATTAGAATAAAGCCATTTTTAAATCATGACAACCCTTTGGTCCGTCATTCTCTTAAAGAGCAGACAAAATTGACTTAAATTTCAAAAATGTTGTATAATTTCTGCTTTTTAGATAAGGCTCCTTGGAAAAGGGTCTTTGGCAAGCTAGTCTTACGAAGAAGCCGACCGGTATCAGGACCGCATGCTGAGATTGCAGGAAACGGCAACGAAGGATGAAGACACCTTACATGGTAAATTTAAGCTCTCCCTGGGTCCGCCTGGAGGAGACCACTTTTTGACTCTGAACGAACTAGCACAGCCATGTTATCAACAAATGAGTGTCAGAGACTGGTCTGAAGGTCATTCTCCTCTCAGCGTGCCCATCAGCAATTACAGAGAGAGGACAGAGGCTGAAGCTCAGGTCCCCTGCAACAGCTTCGACTTTTGGCCACAGAGCTCCCTAGCTCTGAGGTCTGAGCAGCGACCAGTCCTAAAACCTGGGACAAGCTGTTGATCTTCAACTGCTGTATCAGGAAATGGGGAAAATATTTACTGTAGTCTCCTTGACAAATATAATCTGAAACGAAGTCCTCAGAGACATTTTCTTGTTTGCTCATCTCAGTGAGACAAACTCTCAGCGTGTTTTTCTGTTGTGGTAAAATATACAAAACATAAGAAGTTACCATCTTGACCATGTTCAAGTGTGCAGCTCATTGGCATTAAGTACGGTCATACTGCTGTGCAACCATCACTACCATCCGGCTCCACAACCGTATCATCTCCAACTGAAACTCAGCACCTCCCCCCAGCCCCTGGCAACCTTCATTCTGCTTTCTGTCTCTGTGAATCGCACTACTCTGCAGACGTCATGTATCTGTCCTTTTGTGTCTGGCTTACTTGACTTAGCATAATGTTCTCAAGGTCCGTCCATGTTGTAGCCTATGTCACAATTTCCTTCCTTTTTAGGGTTTAACAACATTCCATTTTGTGTGTATGTATACACATACCCCATATTTTATTCATCTATTCAACAGCTAATGGACATTTGACTTATTTCCACCTTTCTGCTATTATCAAGAATGCTGTTACGAGCAGTTATTTTTTCTCCCAGCATAATTTTGTATTGAGACATAATTGACAAGTACACAACACAATGATTTGATACCTCAGCATAATTCTTAAATAAGGTTTATTTTTAACCCTTTGACTGCTATGTTTAATTGATACCACTCATTTCTCAACAACTAAAGAAATACGTTTATTCAGCCCAAGAACTGTGCAGAGAGGGGTGTGGATTCTCTTGGTGGGTCAGAAGAACAATCAAAGGGTTAATTAGTTAAAAAAAAGAAAAAAAAAAAAACCCTTTCACGAGGTCTTTCTTTCCAGGTGGCAGCTGACACGCACACAAATCTAAAGCATCTCACTTATTTCTCCAAACACGATCGCCCCTTACCAGGCCAACATCTGAATGTGTCTTCAGTTGAAGGTTTCAGATTCTCCTGTCAAAACAATTCATCTGTCAACAGGACAGATGCTGTCAAAAGCATTTCTGCACCTTTCAGTAGCAGAGAGGGCTGGAAAGAAACCTCCGGGAATTCAGTTACTGCCAATTGCAGCTTTCACTAAACATTTTGTCAGCCATTGTCATAACACAAATTTTCCCTCTTCTTGTACAAAGGGTGCGCAGAGCTTGGAACAATTGGGCCCAGCCGTAGATATTCTTTCAGCTAATCCGCTGAAAGATGACCATCCAGCCCACCGTTTGGAGAACACACAAGAGGTACCTCTGTGGAGAATGGCTCAAGTTTTATCCCAGTTGTATCTGTGTCTGAGAAGCAAACTGTTTAACAGTGCGTGGCAACAATCTGCTTGCTGAGCATTTTTCCTGACAAAGACCCCCCAACCCTGACCCCAATGCATTGGAAGAGCTAAGTCTTTAAATAGCTGAGCAATCCCCACCACTATGGAAACCTGTGCTGTCCAACTCGGTAGCCCCAGGCCGTGCTGCTTTCACACTGAAAGTGATTAAGATCACACAAAATTAAGAATTCAGTTTTCCTCGGTCATGCTAGCCATATTCCAAGTGTGCAACCACCACATGAGGCTTGCACCCAAGATAAGGCACCATGAAGACAAGAGGACATTCCCATCACGGCTGAAATTTCTATTAAACTGTGCTGTATTGAGATCATGCAGGAATTAACACATATTTCAAGTGAATGGGCACTTAATGAAGAAACTTGGATCTCAAACATAAATTTGAATTTCCCGATAATTCAAGAGCTTTGTTAAAAATGTGGTGGGAGAGGGACACCAGTCTTAACATATAACCTTTAGCCGCACGAAGTTCTTAACCATCCCAACAGAGGAGAGGGCATTTGAAACTTCAATGTACTAGGAAGACAATAAAAAAAATACCCTCTGAGTGTAATTCTATAAGCTTAATCAGTATTTACATAATCTGACCAGCATCTTCCTGGATTACAACCAGAACCACATATTACAAACTTGGCAAACACTATTCAAAGCTGGCAAACAATAATTCATTGACTCCTTGGAAGTTGAGGGATAAAAAGTTCCGTTTGCTATTGAGTAAGCTGTGGTGAGGAAGTAACCCCAGCATCGTTAGACTGACATAATTAGTACTTCAATCCTCAAATACAGGTATTGCTCACAGACCACTGACTTACACAGACAAAACCTCCCGCTCAGGAGAGCAGTGCAACACACGGCTGTAGCCTTCAACATTAATAGGAATCCTAATTCCCAGTGGAAG